ATCTACGTTCTACTCGCAAAAAAGACTCTGAGCTACCTGTTGCCTGCTCTCTGGTCAACATCTCTGTCTCTGGTTTGCTGCAGTGTTCCAATAAAGCTCAACATAAGCTGGAAAAAAGAACACCGCATTTTCCGCGTGGGGACCCTACAGCCCTCCGGACTCAATATCGAGTTCAATAACTTCAGGGTCTAAACTTACCCATGTCCCAGCCCACTCCCTCACACACCAGGCCTTGTTACCACATAGCCTGCCATTACACACCCCTGTTGTGAGTCACTAACAGTCCCCATTAACAACTATTCACCCTCCCAGCCTGATCGTTAGCAACTCCTTTGTCTGTCCAACTGCTCTTCTCTCTCTTTGGGCTCTATCCTATCGTTTACTCCCTGCCCCACCCACCCTCCCTAACTTCTGCATATAAATCAATGTTTTCCCAGCCACTATCAGTTCTGAGCAAGGGTCACCGGACCTGAAATGTTAACTCTGTTTTTTCCTTCACAGATGCTGCCAGGCCTGCTGAGCTTTTCCAGCAACTTCTGTTTTGTTTCCAGTTCAATCAGATCCCCTGTCAGCTTTCTCTGCTCTAAGGAGAACAACCCCAGCTTATCGAGTCTCTCTTCAGAGCTGAATGGCTCCAATCCAGGGAACATCCTGCTGAATTCCGTCTGTACCCTCTCTAATGCGATCACATCCTTCCTATAGTGGGAAGACGAGAACTGCATACAATCCTCCAGCTGTGACCCAACTAAACATGATGTACAGCTCCATCATATACTGTCTATATTGTCCTGTGGTCTAAGGCTGTCCTCCTCGCTGTTTACCACTCCAATTTTCATGTCATCTTGAAACTTACCGAATATACCTTCTACATTCGTGCTGTGATCATTAATGTACTCAACAAACAGCGAAGGACCAGCACCAAATCCTACGGTACACCATCAGACACAGGCTTCCAGTCCCAAAAAAAACCCTTCAACCATCACCCACTGCTTCCTGCTACCGACCTAATTTGGATCCAATTTGCCAAATTGCCCTGAATCCCATGAATTCCTAGCTCCTTAAGCAGCTTGCCATGTGAGACCTTGTCTAAAACCTTACTGAAGTCCACATAGACACCATCAACTGCACTGTCCTCATCTACACACCTAGTCACCTCCTTGATTTATTAGGCATGATCTCGCTGTTACAAAGCCATGTTAATTTTACTTGATTAATCCTTGCCTGTCTGAGTGGAGATTGATTCTGTCTCTCAAATTTTTTTTTACAATAATTCCCTACTGTAGATGTTAGGCTTACAGGTCTGTAGCTTCATTGTTTATCCCTGCCACCTGTCTTGAATAATGACATTAGCTGTCCTCCAGTCCTGTGTGGCCAGAGAGGATTTGAAAATTAATGTCAGAGTCCCTGCAATCTCCTCCCTTACCTCCCACAGCAACCTCACGGACTTAGCAACTTCAAAGCCTTGCTAAAACCTCTAATAGCTCCCCTCTCTTAATTGGGTCAAGTATATCACAAGCTCCCTTCCCTGATTTCTATACCTACATTGCCCTTCTCTCTGGTGAACACAGCTGCAAAGTGTTCATTTAAAACTTCAGCTCCTGTTAAAACCTCACTGATGGCACGGTGGTTAGCAATGCTGCCTCACAGTACCAGGGACCCGGGTTTGATTCCACCCTTGGTCGACGGTCTGTGTGGAGTTTGCACATTCTCCCTGTGTCTGTGTGGGTTTCCTCTGGGTGCTCCGGTTTCCTCCCACAGTCCAAAGATGTGCAGGCTTGGGTGGATTGGCCATAGGAAATTGCCCATAGTGTCTAGGGTGGGAAATGCAGGGGTAGAGTAGGGGTTGGGTCTGGGTAGGATGCTCTTCGGAGGGTCAGTGTGGACTCGATGGGCCAAATGGCCTGCTTCCACACTGTAGGGATTCTATGATTCAATGCCATATACTGAGTTTCCAGGTCCACACACACATTGCCACTTGGTCCCTTAACAGGCCCTACTCTCTCCCCAATTGTTCTCTCATCCTTAAAATATTTATAAAATGTCTTTGGATCTTCCTCAATGTTATCCACTGGTGTTTTGTCATGTCCACTTTTCACTCTCCTAATTTATATTTTTAGTAGCCTCCCCGCACTCTCCATGCTCCTGTAGGGAGTCCGCTGGTTTGAGTCTTTGGTATCTACAATAAACTTACCTTATTCCCCCTTATCCAATCCTGTACATCCTTTTTGGTCCCATCCTTCCCCTTTGCTGGAACACGTTGGCCCTGCACTCTCACTATCCCCTTTGGAATGTCTCCTGCTGCTCGGATATGGGACTTTCCTGCAAGCAGCTGCTCTCAGTCCACTGTGAGCAGATCTTGTCTCATTAAAATGGGCCATCCCTTAATTCAGGGCCTTTATTTCCAGTCCATCTTTTTCCTGAAATATAATTAGTTTAAATCTTGCTGAACTATGGTCACTATCACAGAAATGTTCCCCTACTGTCGCACCTGCTACTTTCTGGCTTCATTCCCTAAAACAGGCACCAGCACCGACTGCTCTCTCATGCACTTTATATGTTGTTTTTAACAAACTCCTGGACAAATTTCCAGAATTCCGGCCCCACCAAGTCTTTCACACTTTGAAACTGCCCCCTATCCAGTGAGCCTGCTATCAGAATGGGACGTAGATGTTTCTAACTCCTCTGCTGCCAAACAGCCAGCGTGAGTTAGCCATGTCCATTGCCTGTAATTGTAGCATCACACTGAGAAAGGACGGGAGCGAGAGCAAATACCTTATGGCTCTGTAGCTGGCTCTGTAGATCACCAATGTTTTTGGAGAGCAGTCTCATCCCCTGGGAAAGCCTCTCCTGTCCATCGTTGACCAAGCCCAGGAGATCCTGCAGCAGCCTCTCATACTGACTCGGGACCAATGTGGTTTGCTGGACCTGTCCCCGGCGATCGCTCAGGCACACGCGAATACCAGTGAGGATCTCCTTGTAAAGCAAGAAATGTTAGAGTCAGTTCCTCCCAATGGACAAACACAGCCCATGTTTATAAAGCCCTCTCCCACGTGGAGAGACATCAGGAGGCAGATTGTACAAACAATGATCACACAGTGTGACACCCAGCCACGAAAGGAGATGTTATTAGGACAGGGGACCAGGGGCTGGGGAAGGCACGTTGAAGGAAAGGGAATTGCACTACTCAGAAACTATAGGCAGCTGAAAATATGACTGCCAACGACAGGGAGATTAAAGTCAGGGACGCTGAAGAAGCCAAATATCCTCACAAGTTTCCGAACTGGAGGAGAGTAGAGAGATAGGGGGCAGTGACTCCATGGAGGGTCTTGAACACAATGCTGAGCATTTTAAAATGAGAGGAGCTGCCGAGCGAGGGATCAGTGCAGATCAACTGCATTTAGCTGTGACTGAGTGGATGGCACTGCCAACCTGGAATCAGGATGGTTGTAGCCTCAAGCCCCACGTCTGAGACATGAGCTCTGTGGACTTGGCTCACTGCCCACTGCAGGGCAGACGGAGTGCTGCACTGTCAGATGTGTCAGCTTCTGGGTGGGATGTTAAACCAAGAAGTTGTCAGCGTCAGTGTTAGAAATGGGTCCTTTTGAGGGTCAATTAGAAAGCTCCACAGTTGATTGAGAACTAGGTTTGTCCTCAGTGGGGAGGTAGCGTCTGAATAAGGAAAGGAAGCAGAAGGGGGAAGGTGACAACTGGCATTCATGGTAACTTACAGATTTACAATAAAACCTTTGTACATCTCTGAAAGTCTTTTTGAACCTAATTCAGCAAATGGATATCAGTCAATTAACCCACTGGTTGGCCAAACGTTAGTGTCATTAGGTCAATGTTTATGGAAATGGCACGGATGAGGGACAGTGTTGGACAGTGAAGGTGGAACCAGGTTGTAAGAGGGAGATGGAGGATCTGCTTATACCTCCAGCTTGCAGAGATCCTCAGTTGCAGTGGTCTCCAGGTCATATTGCTGTCCCTCTGCAGTCATAGCCAGTAACTCAGCATCGATAGGCTCCAGATCACACTCCATCTTCTCAATCAACTGCAACAACACCAGGAGACAGACCAGAGAATCAGACCAACGCAGCTGGTACAATAACACAAACACCTCATCCCTCAGTGGGATAACTCACATACACATTTTACCGCAACAGAATTTGTAGCCAGCGCTAAGTTAGGGACGGATGGACAAGCGTGCACATACACACACACCCAGTAGCACCTGCACACAATGGCTTTCAGAACTGTCCTAAAGGGGCAGAAAGAAGGTTTGAGAGGGAATTCCAGAGCTTAGGCCCCAGGTCACTGAAGGGATAGGCAGCAGTAGTGGAGCAATTAAAAATAAGGCTGCTCAAGAGGGCAGAATTAGTGGAGCACAGAAATGTCTGAAGGGTTTAAGCAGATTATGGAGACAGCATGGAGCAAGGCAATGGAACCAATGCGGGTCAGTGATCACAGGGGCACAATAACAGAACTGGCCTCTGATTGATTCCAGGCACTGAGAGTAAATTTCAGGAGAACGAAAGTGAGGGTGCCAAGTGTTGGAACGATCATGTCTAGAGGTTAGGGAAGGCACAGATGAGAATCTCAGTCTCAGAAGAGCTGGTGTAGGAGTGGAGACCCTGTCACTGAGGTGGGAGAATGTGGTTGGATAAGTGGTCAAGGACACTAAGGCTGAGGACTGTCTCAGTGGATGGGTAGAGTTTTAGAGTCAGTGGCAAGGACACAGAGTTTGTGTTGAAGAGAATGATTATCCCCTTCCCAATATTTAGTGGAATGATGTTTCTGTTCATCATGAGATAGATTTGTATTTCTACAGCAGCTCACACAATCTTTGGCCTTAAAGCACTTGGGACACCTGATAAAATACATTTGAATGTAATCGTATTGGTCTGGTTTCTTCTTCTGTGAAGTGTCTTCCACAGTTTTTCCATGTTCAAAGGGTCATATCAAAGACATTGTTGGGTGGGTTACCTGAAGTTGGTGTCAATATGGTGTGGAACTGGGCCCTTCCTCAGTTCTGAAGAAGGGTCTAGACCTGAAACGTCAGCTTTCCTGCTCCTCTGATGCTGCCTGGCCTGCTGTGTTCCTCCAGGCCCACACTGTGTTATCTCTGACTCCAGCATCTGCAGCTCTTACTGTCCCCGAGTGACTTACCTGAAGTTGGTCGCTGGTGCTCTGTGCTACACATTCTGCCAATTGGTTCCGAACTTTCATCCTCCTCTCCAACAAGGCAGCCTCAAACTGCCTCAGCCGCTCCTGCGGAGTTAATACAAGCCATAAACACCAGGCAGGAGCGTGCAAATCATTCTATCAGACTCTGCACAATCCCACACTGAACACACTTACTGCCCAGCCAGTCAGTCTAATGTTACAGAATTGGCTAATGTTAATGCAGCTCCCCGTGACAATGCTGTCACTTTAAAAACGTTATTTTGTCCTGTGTTTTTTTGAAGAGAGGTTGTAAAGGCAGAAGCAATGAACTGGCTACTGGACAACAAGGTGCAGGGCTGGATGAA